GAAAGACGACTGGCTGTTGTCAGAATCTTGGGAGACTTGATTGTACATGAGGGTAGTTGTACACCTGGCATGTGATATAAGCAATTCGTCAGATCCGCTTCAGACATGCAAGATAAACCTTGCCTTGGCAAGATAAATCCGTTCATCGCTGTCTTTATCTTCTGTGGTCCACTGTCCCTCGTGAAGTATACTATCACGACTGAAATGTTCCTCCTAAGTTAATTCATGCACACACAAAATCTACACAAGCCCTTTCTCCTCAGCAACATCAGTCGACCCAAATAAATTTCGTCTAGGAAAAATGTATCCACCACATGCAATTATAACCTAAATACAACTAGATGCAACTAAAATGCTATGATCACATAGTTTAGATGAGCAATAACTTAAGTAAAAAGACTAAAATAGAGTCATTTTATGGAGTTATCAGTCATCGATTCATCATTGTGGCAATCGATTATTTTACCAAATGGGTAGAAGCTGCGTCATATTCCAGTGTCACTCAGTTCACTATTTGTAAATTGTTGAAAAAAGAGATCATATGTCGGTATGGTTTACCATAAAGGATCATTACCGATAATGCAACCAATCTAAACAATAAGATGATGGATGCTACATGCGAACAATTCAATATAAAGCATCACAACTCTATTGCTTATCGACCAAAGATGAATGGAGCAATAGAGGCAGAAAACAAAAATATCAAGAAAATAGTAGAGAAAATGACTGAGACATACAAATACTGGCACGAGAAGTTACCTTTCGCCTCATTTTCTTATCGAACTTCGATACAGACTTTTACTGGGGCAACCCCATTTTCATTAGCTTATGGAATAAAAGTTGTGTTGTCCATAGAGGTGGAAATCCCATCACTCTGAGTTTTTTCAGAAGTTAAATTGGACGAAGCGGAATGGGCGCAAACTCGATATGATCAACTGAACCTAATAGAAGAAAAAAAGGTTGAAAGCCATTCACCATGGTCGACTCTACCAAAAATGAATGATATGAGCACATAAAAAGAAGGTGCACCCAAGAGTATCCCATGAAAGAAATCTTGTACTGAAAAAGATATGGCCAATCCAAAAATACTTCAGAGGAAAATGGATGCCAAATTGGGAAGGGCCTTATGTCATGAAAAAGGCTTTCTCTGGAGGAGAATTAATCTTGACTAAAATGGACAAGCTAAAACTTCCCAATCTCATTAACTCTGATGTTGTCAAGAAATATTTTACTTAGGGTGAAAACCCGAAAGGGCTCCCTATGTTGAAGTAAAAAAATGTTTAGAGTGAAAACCTAAAAAGGCGCTCTAAATTGTAAAAAAAATTGAAAAAAAAAAAAAATAAAAGGTAGGTCCAAGATACCCGCAAAGGGCGTCTTGAAACCGTGGGGGAATCCAAGTTGAAAACCCAAAAGAGCTGATTAGTTAATGATCCAGGATTCGCGCACGCGGAGGTTCTGGATTAAGGAAATAAAGCATACATCATCCAAGTATCCGGAGAGTTAATAATTCGGGAGGAACTTCGCACTCTTTCAAACATTGTCACAATCTTCGAAGTCCCCTAGACAAAGGCTACACTCAAAGTCAGCTAACGGTGTGCCAGTTCAAAGGCATCCACATTATCAAGATCTAGGGCACCTATTTGTATTTCAAAATATTTATCGCATTTCATAATGTTTGCCATGTATTTTATTTGTCCACATAAATAAATACGACTATTTGACTAAGAAAAATTAATTACTTATTATCTTGCATTGAATTTAAATAAAAATGATTTATTTGCTCTTGAAAAGATCATTGCATATTACTGCACAAAGATACATGTGTTTGGAGGCTGATAGAGGTTCTTGCACACTAAGAACCGGAAATGCGTTGATTAAAAGAAAGTCAAAAATAATGAAAGACTTCTTTCTGAAACAAAATGCCCTGAGAGGTATCAAATCAAAACACCTTAAAGGCCAGAGAATATATAATCAAGAACCAAGAAGTCAAGATTGGCAAGAATCAAGAGATGTCAGAAAAATCAAGACTAATAGCAAGAGATTGAGATTTCTCTCTAAGTCCAAAAGTAACATATTTTACATATGTATTATAGGAGTACATAAGAACATTGCATCCATAGCATCACACAAATGCATAATTTTGTAGATTTTTATCAGAGTCAATTTCAACTTCGCAGTGGAGGTTATTGAACTCAAATAACACTCAAGATTAAAAACAATCCATCTTGGATTTCAACTTTATAACGAAAGATATCCAGCTCAAAAAATATTCAATTTGGACTCAACTTCACGATGAAGGAGTCACCCACGATTTCAACTTCACAACGAAGGATATCATGCCTAATAGATCGACTCAACTTCATGGAAAAGGGGTCATCTACAACATAGTTCAACGAAGAAGAACTATTTCTCAACTAAGGCGATGAGTTATTGCCTAACTCAAGCATTGAGCTAGATTTGAACTTCACAGTGAAGGATAACATGCTCGAAGCATCAAGATTGACTCGGCTTCACGATAAAAGGGTCAACCACGATTTTAACTTCATGACAAAGGATATCGTGCAAAAAGCCATCTCAAGACTGACTCAACTTCATGACTAGGGAGTCAGCCGTAATTCAGTTCAAATTGATTACAACAAACCAATCACAACTTGGGTTTTCAGATCGGATTTCAACTCTGCGGCAGAGGATATTTGATAACATTGGAATAGAAGCCCATAAGGGATGAAGCTAGACTCGGAGACCCATATATGGTAGACAAAAATATTGTCTTTTTAATCTTTTCCCTATTCCCGTTACACGACAATGGGCAAATAAGGGCAGCTGTAGACACTCATTTTCGTCCGACCTTTTTGTTTTTATTATATAGAATATATATAGTATATAGTATATATATATTTTATTATTTAGTATTATATTATATTTATATTATATATATATATAGTATTATATATATAGTCATATATATATATTATATATAGTTATTATATTATATTATTATTATATATATATATATATATATTATTATTATTATTATTATTATTTATCATTAATTTTTCTTAGGGTCTAATAAAAAGTTCAGAAGTCTAAAGAGTCCAGCAAGGAGCCCAATCGGGTAGGCTAGCCTGACCCAGCAAGCCAATCTGGGAAGCCCAGCGAGCCAAATTAGGGTTCCATACTAAGGAGTTGCGCCGCACATATTTTAGCCGTTAGATCAATATAAAGATCAACAACCCAGGTCGAAAAATAACTAGGGTTTGAACCTTAGCATTGACGCCACACAAGAAGAGGGCACGTGAGGACCACGTGCTGGCAGTTTTCACCCGAGAATCCCGGGCCAATTTCCAGCGACCAACCAGCAGAGATTTCCGAGATCTCAAAGCACTCAAATCATAGCAAAATCATACCCGATTCAGGACTGAACCATCCCAAATATTTCGGCCGACAACAACATCCACTAGCTCGAGTAAATTGAGAACGGGGAGAACGACCCCCGAAGCAACTAGGAACAGCCCTGATGGGGCTTTATAAATACCTGCACAACCACGAGGAAAACCAACAAGCCAAAATAAACAATATTTGGCCAAAACCAAAAACAACCAAGCCAAAAAAATCAAAACCAAAAGCCAAACAAAGCATTCACGCAAGCAAAAGACATCGACGCAGCGTTAGTCTCAGCTCGGGAATGAAATGACCATCGAAAGTCAAAAGGGGTTTTTCGGAAAAGGTAAAAGTCTGAACTTTAAAATTTAGATCTACGCCAATTTGGTACTTTTTTGTGCAATTGGGCTTCGGTTTTGTGTTTAAGATGTTGGGAGGAACGTTTTAGTGGAGTTAGAATTTTTTTCGGCTATCGCTGGCGGTGGGCGGAGAGGCAGTTGGACAGCAGGTTTCGTCGGAGTGATAGCCAGCCTTTGGTAGGATAGGAGAGAGGGGATAGCGTTTGAGAGAGGTGGGAATGTTTGGTTTTGAGAAAATGATGGAAATGAATGATATTTTGGGTTAAAAGGGCTTTATATGGGCCAAAGGGTAAATAACAAATAGTTTAATTATTTTTGTGATCCCTGTAAGTTTGATGCGTAATTCATTCTGGTCACCTGTTATAAAATTTCCCTATAATTTTGAATTAATTCAATTTAATCCCTATTTATTTTTTATATTTTTTTGCAATTTAACCCCTAACTTTTATTTTTCTCTTTTCTGCATTCAATTAACTTAAATTTGATCCTCGGTTTTTTAATACCTTCTTATATAATATTTTAATTTAAAAATTTCTTGTATTTATTTTATTTATTTATTTTTATCAATTTTTTATCTAATTGTTTTTTAAATCTATTTTATTTTAACTCTAACATTAATTCTTTTCAATTTTCTTTTATTTATTTTATTTTATTGCCTAACATTAATTTGATCTTTTTTAGGACAATTTTGTATTCGTCAAAGGTAAATAATTCAGATCGAACTTTTAAATTTAATTTAACTTTTAATTTTCGTAATTAAGACAACCGAGAAATTAAATTGGTATCGAAAGGGCAGTACAGGGGTGATAATCAATCCCTGAGTGTAATCGACTCCGAATCCGATTAATCTTTGAAAAAATGCAGATGAGATAAATGGTAAGTTAAGGTGCCCGGTTAATCTAATTTTAAATGGTCGTTGGCGGCTCTAACACATTAAATTTAAGCCGAAGTCTGATTCCGAGCCCATCTGAAGGACGATTACGAAAAAAATATTATAAATTATATTTATTATTTATTAAAGTAATAGTATTACATTATATTTTAAAAAATATTAATTAATATATTCTAATCACATATTTTTAGGTTAAAAAAGAATAATATAATTTTTTTCATTAAAGACTAATATAATTTTTTTATTTTATATGTTATTAGTTTATTTTGTATTATATTTTTTTATATTATATAAGGAGGTAAAATTCGTTGATTACTATATATATTTCTTAAGCTTTACAATTTTTTTTTAAATAATTAGATAAATAAATGGGTAGGAAAAATGGAAACGGACACGTAGGATTGGGGGTGAAATGCAGCAAAGAAGTAGCGACGGCTATAAGAGGCGCCATAATATTAGCCAAGCTATCGGTGCTACCTGTGAGAAGAGGCTGCTGGGGGAATAAGATCGGAAAACATCATACGGTGCCGTGTAAGGTCACCGGAATATGTGGGTCGGTCTCTGTTAGGATGTTTCCGGCTCCTAGAGGTGCATGGATTGTGGCTGCTATGGTGCCCAAGAAGGTGCTTCAGTTTGCTGGGATTGAAGATGTTTTCACTTCTTCAAGGGGCTCCACCAAGACTGTTGGTAGCTTTGTCAAGGTAATAAGTTTTTCTTTATAAATTTTACCCTTTTTTTTCGAATTGTTGCTGCTTAAATGTTAGTTTCCTGTTGCTTAACTTTAGGATTTGTGTTCACTAATGTGTCTTTAATTGGATAGGAATTCGATTTAGGTCATCGACGTGTAGTTTGTTTTCATGTTTAGTAAACAATTTATTGATAATTCTGTGCGTAACTTTAGTGTATGATATTGGTTTTTTGCTGGTTAAATGAAGCATGAGTGTTTATTCTTTAAAAGCATGGTACCATTGTGGTGTTATTGTCTTGAATTTCCTTGAATCGATTACGATGGAGTTGTTGAACATATTAGTAGGTAAATAATGTTAGCATAATTTTACTTCTTGGAGTGGTATGGTATTCTATGATTCCATTCCAGCTAATGTTATAGCCATTGGAAGGTTCGAGTTCGTAGCGGAATATGGATAAACATTGATCCGGGTAGGCATAACTGATGTTCTTTGATTGTTCTTTTGCGTCCTTAACAACAATGACAGTAAAAATTTCCAACCACGATTGTAAACATGGGATGTTTGGAAGTTTTCTGATTTAAGCTTTTCTTGAGTTTGTTTAATGTTTTGGCTTGGTCAAAATCATGTTATATTTTTGTTTAACTCCCCTAAACATGTGCTTGTAGATTTTTGACTCGTTTAATGACCGGCTAACCTGTTTTGATTTTCTTTTAATCATTGCATATTGATGCTCAGTGCTTGTAAATTGGTTGGAAAACTAGTATGCTTTCATGCTTGATAGCGGTTATTCTTGCGAATGTAAATGCAGACAATCTTTGAGTGTCTTTTGAAAACTTATGGTTTCTTGACTCCTGATTTTTGGAAAGAGACTCGATTCACGAGGTCTCCTTTCCAAGAGGATACTGATCTGTTGGGGAAGCCATCGAAGACCCTTGCACTCGAAGACGTCGAGAGGGTGGATGTATGACCAAGGGCTTCAATGCCTTGGAATAGTCATATGAAGTTACGTTTGTGGTTAAGCTAAAAAGGATGAAATCTTAACGATTTTGCTTTTGTTTTTGACATGAGATGTTCAAGATTGTTTTTCCCTTGTATGCATCCTTAACAATATTGCAGTTTACATGATTTTCAAATCTTTTTCACTTGTGCCTGATTGCTCAGGAATTCATTAGAAACATTCAGAACATAACAAGTGAACTAGATCAGTTTTTGAAAAATGTTGTTGAAAAGTGCTTTTACAAAATACTTTTAAAAAGTGATTTTGTGAAGTTTGATTTTTAGTGAAGCTCCACGTGACGTTGCTGATGTGGATGCCTCGTTAAAACGAGGTTGTTTTGCTTGAGGGAGTTTAGTTAAAATTTGAGTTAGCGAGATTTGAACTTTGGACTTTTGGAAACAAAGATAAAAGTTTAGCCACTCAATTGACTTAAGATTTTGATTAGATTCTTATAAATATAATTTACATGTTATACAATTGAGATTATTTATAATTTATGTTTTAAAATTAAAATAATATTTATAATATAAATATATTATATATTACTAATATATATAATATTTCTATAGAATAAATAGTATGATTATACTATATTATTATAAATAATATTAATATGCATATAATATATTTATATATAATTTATAATAAAAATAGTATCTTTTAAAAACATCTAAAATTTTCAAAATTCTCAAATGTCCCCAAAACCTAAAGCCCTAAATAATAAATCCCTAATTTCACCCATTGTCGTCTTTGAATCAACGTCGCCCACCACTTTCGTTGCCAAACCTTTACAGCCAATTATCCCACTCTTTCATCGTCGAAAATCAAAGAACAATGTGCTAATTGATCGTCAGAACACTAAATTAAAATGTTCTAGTCGAACCATGAATGACGACTCATCGATGGGGGAATGGCAAATTACGTGCATGATGAGAGGAGAAGATTTCAGTGTGGTGGCAACGACAGGTGTTGGTGAATTTAGGTGTTTATGGTGTTTGGTGATTTTTTGAGAATTTAGGGGTTTTTTAGGAGTTTAGGTTTTTTAGGATTTTTTAAAAGATAATATTATTTATAAAAAATGACGTCATTTTAGGTTTTTTAGGCATACACGTCAGCAGCGTCACGACGCGGAGCTTCCATGTCATTGTCTCGTTAAGTTACTAACGACGAAGTAGCATAATTGCACTTAAAAGTAAATATTAGTGCTAAAATTGACAAAATTAAAAGTTTGATGGTATAAATGAGTCAAAGCTTAAAGTTTAGTGGTATTTGATGTAATTTATCTAAAATTAATTATTTCGCATTGGGTCAAAAAAATTTTTTTAAAATATAAAATGACTGTTTTAGATCTTATGTTATAGTTTAAAATATAATGATTTAAATTACATTTAAATTCATTAATATCATGATATATAAATATATCAATTTAAAATATAATTAAAAATAAAAGTATTGCATAATAATTTATTAATAAAATTTACATATATAATATTTTTTTAAAATAGTTTTTGAATAATATTATGCAAGAGAACAATAAAAGAGACTGATGTAAATATGGCATGGATGGAAATTTAGAGATTGGAGTTCAAATAGGGAAAATTAGCACCGGAAGCCTAAACTAGATGATGAGACTTTTACTGATCCAACCTCAAACTGGAAAAAAAATACACAAAGTGGTAGAAAACAAATCCTCAAAAGTTCAAGAAACAAGCAATGAAAAACATCATGAAACCGCACCAAAGCGGTGAGAAGAGTAGAAAACGAGCTGGGAAGAAAGATTTAGTATCTTCGAAACCAGATCAGAAGAAACCATGAGATGCCTCCAAAGAATCTTGAGTCTTATGGTGATAGTTGGAGAGAATAAAGATTAGTCCACACCTACAACCAAATACCAGAATTTGGGGAAAAAATTAGGCTGGGATGCTTCACGAGGTCCTTGACAAGTTATCGAAATTAACTGCTCCAAACACAGTGGTGATTTCCCACACGAGATGAATCACATCTTCAGTCTAATTCGAGTGTTTCTAGTCATCCTAAATCGATTCCAGTTCAAATGAGTTATGAACGACGAATTATTTGGGAGAAAGAAACAGGGATTTATGTGGAATTCAAAGGAGAACATACAATTTTTTAAGTGCTTGATAAAATGCCAACAAGAGTAGCTTATTTTGTATTTTTATCTATCTGTGGCACCGTGAGAGTTAACTCCCGGATACATCCAAACGTCAATTCAATGGAATCTATAAAATTGATCTCTTTGCAAACTCAAGGTTTGCACCCACTAGTTCTGATGGATACTCTTACTTCACTCGAAGTTAATTCATCGAGTCTCTTTGATGGTGAGATTCAAACAATTATAACATCACAAAAAACAATTAATTGGTTTCCCTTTAAAGGAAAATGAGGATCAATAGCTACATTGTCAACAAACTGGTAACTCATTGTACTATGCAATTTTTAATACCCCAAATTTTGGTTAGTCACTAAAATATAAGTTTTGAAAGTTTGGTGGCTAAAGTATAAATTTGTAAAATTTCAAGGACCAAAAATATAATTTTGAAAAGTTATATATATTTTAGCCTGTAAATGAATAGTTTGGCCTAAAACAAGATTTTCATGGTAATTAGTTTTTTAGTACGGGATTTTTGTCAAAAGCTATAAAGCAATAAAGTTTGGTATAGAAATCGGATAATCGGATCGAATCGAAATTTCACAAAAATTTGAATGATGCTAGATAAAGGTTGGAAATATTATTTCCATAATTTAGAAAGTGAAATTGTATATGAATCAGTGAAATTAAGGTTGATTTCCATGTTAATCCAAAATTGTGAATTTTAGTGACTAAATTACAATTTCAAAAAATTACAAGGCAAAGGCGGAAAGTGAATTTTTATTTGTTCATCTTTGACTTTGGAATATTAAAATGGAAGATATTCCAATGGAAAGTTGAAATTATCATGTTTCATTAAGAGAAAAACGGTAATTTCACATTAATTGAATTTTAAATTTATTTATATTAAATAAAGCCAAGTGTAATATGATATTAATTGAAGAAATATCAGAAATTTACACCATCTTCTAGTCGCAAAACGTGAACCACCATAGCTAGGTAAGAATTTTTTTTGATTTTATTTTTAAGCTTATTCGATTGATTTTTGGATTAAGCTATTAGGTAGAGAATTAATCTACTTGAAATTTGATCGCGTATAAATGTATGTGTTGTGGCATGCAAATCTAAACAAACATACACAATCGATGCAAGTAATATAATAGTGAGTGATTTATCTTCTCCACAGGGATTGGTGGGAATTTTTTATGTTTGTTACAACTAGAACTAAGTGTCACTAATTAGTCCTAAGTGTCACTAATTAGTCCTAAGATTCTTGTCTAAAAAGAAAAGCATGTAGTATCAAATGATATGAATAGATGGAAAAGTATTCTCGATGTGAGAAAATTATAAAGTGAAGTGACCAGAAAAGTTTGGTCGATGCAATAAAAATATGCAAAGGTAAACAAATAAAAGTTATCAAGGAAAATAAAAATGTTGAGTTTAATATAATCTGAAAAACCTCACACAATCATACTTCTAATGGAGCACTTGGGTTTGATTTGCTATGGTGAGAAATTATTCTATGTCTAGGATGATTTAGTATGTTATGCCTATGTTGTCCGATAAGATTTACTAGAGTGTTCCTAGAACTTGTGCTACGACAATACTACTCAGCGTGAATTACAACCCTTGGTTTGTCAAAATGTTGTTGTGGCAATACCCCTCAACTTAAACTGTAGCTTTTAGCCTATCTTATTCAAGCGTTTACCCTTTTTAGTTGAATGAAACCATCTCCTTATCTTTAAGGCAGATTAGAACCTCATTATCTTGGATTAGTTACCTTGTTCATGTAGACCTAACTTAATTTTCTCGCTATTAGGCATCAACTCCTAGAAAAATGACAATCTCTCAAAATCTCTTACAGGGACTAGGAATGTTTTGCCGAGGCACCAGGCAATCTCTCAAAAGCTCTTACATCGTCAAGAAAAAGATTAAAACCATGAACAAAAAACACTTAGCATAAACAAACTTCATCATTCATTAACAAGCAAATAAAGTATCATTCAAGCATCATCCAACACCAAATAAAACAGTTTATGGTGTGGTAAATATCATCCCAAAACTTAATCTTTAAGTACAAGTCCTTAATGGATACAAAAATAAAGAACAAAAAGAAGAAAGACTCCCAAAACAGAGCTCTGCCGTGACATTTCCGGCGACCAGCCTTTCTTGAGGCCTGGTCGTTGCTCCAGTGAAGCCCTGCTATGGAAGACACCAAGGACAGTCAAGTGGGGACGGTAGAAAAAGTAAACTGCTATAGCCGCTTACTTCAAGCCTCATTTTCAAGTATATTCTCCTCTTAAAATCCCCCTTTTATGAAGATATATAATGGTATATTTATATTGGAAATTTCTAGGGTTTAATGCCCCTGTAAATTCCCTAAATATCATTAGTTTCCTACCAATTGTGTGAATAAAACGAGAGCTAGCAGTGGTCCCAAATTCCTTTATGAGGGCATGATTGTACCCTTCCCTAGGTCAGGACTCTTTGACAGTGTGTGTGCGTGATTGTATCTAGTCTATGCTTAACGAAATTAGAAAACTCCTAAGTAAGTTCTTCTATTTTTCCAAGGCATCAAATTATTCATTAAGCACAGTTTCACTCCTGTTTATTCAACATGTAACTTCAAAATTTTTTTCTCACTTCTTCGAAGAGAGTCAACTCATCACACCTACCGTCCCATACTCTAGATGAAAGAGAGCATAACTTCCACCATCGACCTAGTCAGGTAGAGTCATCATGTGATTGCTTCCATTCACTCATATACTAAGGCAACCATTTATTTAAGGGAGTTTCCAGGTCATGTCGTCGCATAGAGGAGTGTCCCTCTATAGTTATACCAAGGTATTTATTTTCAATTCAAAGCAATTCAACACACTAAGGAGTTCAACTTAATCTTTTCAATCATTTAATGCCACTGCGCACAAAAAATTCTCTCCTAAAAATTTTCTAAGTACCTTAAGCAGAGAAAACATACAATCGTATTAACAAGATCACAAAAAATCATGTCCTAAGGTAAGTTCTATCCTTTAGCAATCATGTAAAATAATTATAGCCTAGGGAATAAAAATTTATCTTTCATCATTGGGCATCCTCAACTTATTCCAAACAACTATCTTAACATTACTCAATCTGTAACACCCATCTCCCGTATACCTTTCCGTACTTGAGATGTAGATGTCACATTACTTTTAAAATAATTATTCCTTTGAAAATCCAAAAGTTTTTTCTTTTTATAAAACATTGCAATTAAACTAATATAAAACATACATTAACTTAATTACATAATAAAAAGTATCATTCAAATGTTCTTCAAAGCATTTTTACTAAATATGTTACATGCCAACTAAATACATCAAAAAGTAGACATGTGTCATACTGTTACTGAAGAGGTGATCCTTGCTTCGATGTCCAAAAATCTCCTTACTCCACTGGAAGTAAAACCTACGCATGAAATTAACACACACTAAGAAAATTCTTAGTGAGGCATAATAATCATAAGCAAAAATTCTACAAACAAGTATATTATGACGATTCCAATATCCACTACTTCTTTCAATTCATTAAACATTCGATAGTTTACTTCTGTAATACTAATACAATCATTTCTCAACCATTACTCTAATGTACGTAGATTGTACACCTGCTACCAATACGAAAATTTATACACTTGATATTAATTTTCTAGTTTTGCACATATAGTGCCCATACATAAATTCGTCCACTTAGTATGAATTTCTGAAGTTTACACATAAAGTGCCAATACGGAAATTCGTCCACTTAGTATGAATTTCTTAAGTTTACACATATAGTACCCATACAGAAATTCATCCACTTAATATAAATTTCTTAAGTTTACACATATAGTGCTCATACAGAAATTCATCCACTTAGTATGAATTTCTTAAGTTTACACATATAGTGCCCATACGGAAATTCATCTACTTAGTATGAATTTCTTAAGTTTACACATATAGTGCCCATACGAAAATTCATCCTCGTAGTATGAATTTCTTAAGTTTACACATATAGTGCCCATACGAAAATTCATCCTCGTAGTATGAATTTCTTAAGTTTACACATATAGTGCCCATAAGGAAATTCATCCACTTAGTATGAATTTCTTAAGTTTACACATATAGTGCCCATACGGAAATTCATCCACTTAGTATGAATTTCTTAAGTTTGCACATATAGTGTCCATACGGAAATTCATCCACTTAGTATGAATTTCTTAGGTTTTTGGCACACTTAGTGCCATTTGGTAATCACCATACATACATTAATAAATCATACAATTATGACTACCATAATATATACGTACATAATTAAATGCGCTCACCTGGCTTACCTCGCTTTGGTATCCAAAATGTAAAGTTGATTACTCTGGAACTTGGCCTTTGCCTTTTTCTTTACACGACTTGGGAGCTTGATTTTGATCTATTCCATATCCATTAAATACATGTATAATATCAATTGTTAATATATTTCATAACAATTATACTTAAACATTACTCAAAAGTACATATTATTAACTTTTCTATAACAATATCAGCCTATCTTACAATTTATGGCTCCTCAATATTGATACCCCTACCATGGTATTGATACTACCATACTATGGTAATGATACCCTACTATGGTATCAATACCATTTTTTCATTCTTTTTTGAATGGTATCGATACCTTCCCTTCGGTATCGATACTAATTGAATCAATATCGATAATACTCATCTGATTCATCCTATTTTAGCCTATAGTATTAGTACTGTTCTATCAGTACCGATATTTATGCCCAGATTTTCTAGTTTTCAACCTGATTATTACATAAATAGGTCAAATTTCCTTATGCTTACCTCCCATAATACTACCAAACTCTTCTTTACTTAACCCCACAAATTTTCCTTCAATTAGCTACTTGTAACATCTAACCTCTTCCAAGAACATGTAAATCTAAGAATCACATCCCTTTTTCTAACATGTTCTTATTTCCATCCAATGCTTCTAATCTCTTATTTAAATATTTGACAAGTCAAATATACTAATAAACATCAATAACCACTTATATATTAACATATCATTTCAAAACCTATTTTCTAAAATCTCCATTATTTCCTCTATCTCGTAGTTTTAATCCCATCTAAACCTCCCTTAAGCTTCTATCATACTCAAGGCTTTAATAACCAACCAAAAACGAAAGGATAAACTAGTAACTTGAAAAATCACCTTTGAGCTATGGATGAGAGCTTCCCACGTGAAAGAAGAAGAAAAGAATTTACCTTCCTAAATCCCTTTTCCCCTATTTTTTTACTTTAATATACTATAAAGAATGAATTTTAAATCCATTTTATTCCAAATAACCAAATAACCAAAATGCGCTTTTAATCCTCCATTACTATAATTTAATCTAAACTATTATTCCCAAATCATTCTCATCTTTTATCAATTAATCAAATAGAATCTCAAATTTTAAATCTTTTCAATAAAGTCCTTAATTTAATATTTGGGGCATTACACATTCCATGAAAAAAATATTTCTACCAATCATTATCGATATAATTAACTAAGTACGAAGCACAACACCTCCTCTAAACTTGAGGGGTGCATTATCCTCAATGCATGAAAAAGATAAAGTAATTACTCTAAAATACGATGGAAATGCAAATGTCAAGTAGTAACTTATTATGGTGGGGTAGTTCTGTTAGAGGCTCGGGTTCGGTGTATTTTGAGAGGAGAATGGCTGGCAGATCTTGTTTCTTTTGACAGGAGTGATGATAGAGATGACATAGCAATACGACTAGCGGAGCGCTTGAGGTGACACCGAGTCCTGGGAAGACATTCTGGAGGTGGCATCTCCTTGATTTGAAATGTCTCAGCAGGTGGGTGTAAGGGATAGCGTCGATTACTACAATTGGTTCATTGTTCAATTCTTGTGGCTGTGTAGGGGCTTGTTCAGTATGGGTTGTGTATCAACTGATTCAAAAAAAATTGTGGCTGGGGCAAAGTCTTCGTCTTCAAAAAATTCGGGTGGAATTTCCTGAGTGTGCTCGGAGGAGGAAGTGGTTGAGTTGAGTGCCTGACCTTGGCCCTCTTCATGGATTGGATAGACATGTGTGGCGAGAGGGGTGACTTCAACTGGGGATTCGAGCTGAACATTTTGTGTATGCTACCGCCTGTGGGTACTGGCTTATGCAATATTTCCTCAGGAAAAGGTGGTAGGTTGTCATTGGTAACTGGTAACAGTTCCTTTAAGAAGGAGTTTAGTTGTGCATATTTTGCCTTGACATAATTAAAGAAGGTATGTATGTGACCTTCCAATCATTCTAGCCGCTCCCTTATCTCGCGTGTGGTGGTGACCACTGCCACCATTCTTTCCAGGACTACAGACTTTGCACCTCATTCTAATCCCTCTCCTGGGGCATTACCATCAAAACTCATAAGCTCAGGCACCTTCTTCTTTTTGATGCCCTCCTTGGATTTAATGAACTCCTCCAAAGGCTCCTCATGGCCCTTTTTCTTCATAAAAAGAGAAATAATTAGATTTGGAAAAAG